GACCTGTTATGCAGACAGCAACTAGTGTAACAACAGGATAGAGAACAAAGGACCTCAAAAAGAAAAATTAGGGGAAGATGGCATGGATTACCCTTCCTTTTCCTCAGTGTTCATTGTGCCACTATTTTCCACTGTTTTTTGTTTTGTTTGTTTGTTTTTTCCCATTGGGAAAACTGTGATTTTATAAGCTAAGTGTAGTCTTATTGACCAACAATTGCATAACCTTAGAAGCAAACCAGTTCAAAGTGGCCTTTGTGTGTTTTAAATGACTGAAATCCTTAGCCTTTTAAGAGATGGACAGCACTGATCATAACTATTAATAATCCTTTTTTTGTATTGTCTACTGAAAAGTTACACCTTGATGATTTCTAATGTCTCAGGAATGTGGATGTTGACATCTTGAATAGCTGATGATTCTTCTGACTCAGACAATGACGTGTTTATCGGGGCTGGTTTAAGCATTTCCATAAGCTTTGACAAGGTCTTCTTCACCCTGAGTGATGGTAGACGGGCTGATGCATTTTGTTTCCAACAATCTTTCATCAACTTTCCCATGACCTCAAGTGCCTGCAAAAAAATGGTTTGCTGAAATGAAAACCCTTTCTTCTCTTTCTCCTTCTCCCTGTCGGTGACTGTCTCAGGGAATGAAAGTGGGTACAGGGAATGCTGAAAACATATTTAACTGCAATCTTTATTACAACTGTTTTGGTTTAAAATGATGGCTGTTTAAACAAGTTTTATTTCCATTTCCTTTGTCTTGCATGCATTTTCATAATTTAAACAAAAGAAAATGATAAAGTCTGAACAGCAAAAAAGCACAACTGAATATACATTGTATTTCTGTTAACAAGTGTCTATCTGAAGAACATTAATGTCACTCATAACTTTCTTTTAAAAGGGCATACTGGCTACCATAATGTAACTGTCATACTCCAAGAAAAATAATAACTTGACCCCTATTGGCTTTACCAGAATGATTTTAAACAAGCAGCCAAACAGAGAAAATAATTTTAAGCTACCAATTACACATAACAGGCATATTACTTTTCCCACCACCTCACAGTCATTTTGACCACCTCTTTAGCTAGCTGTCCATTAGTATTCCCCATGACATTCACTTTGATGTTAGTAGAGCGAAACAGTTGTTAAGTTGGTTACAATCTCTACAATATTCTGGACACTGCAAGCTGTTTCTTACAATGTTTGTCAATTGACTTTGTTGTAGAAAACATACAAGGTTAACCTAATCAGGCAAAAATGCTGGAAGCTACTTTTAATGTTGGAAGTTCTGAAATTTGCCCACTTTTGGAATAAAGAATTTTTCTTTATTTTTATCAATAACTAAAACTGAGTTTTTAACAATTATGCTCATTAGAATTGACTACTTACACTGCTTTCAGTCCACTTGTTGGGAACCAGTGGTCTTTTCTGTTGTTCACTGACAACTTTCTTCATGTCATCATATGTAGGATTTGAGGGCACCATGTCAAAGAATGGTAACTCAAAATGCTCTGGTCTTATGCCTTAAAACAAATAACAATGCAAGTAATCGATTTAATTCACAGGATAATAATAAAACAAGGGAGTTAGAAAATCTAATGTAAGAAGTCATTTCACCTTTTATATCCTAACATCAGTATGCATACTGTTCTTCGCACATTTCCTTCGGTGCTGATCGATAGAATTTGTTCGACAATCGGGAGCTTTCCCAATAAGTGATCACTTTTTTTTTTTCAGTCTCATGCCCTTAATAATTCATTCAAGGGTAATAATGTAGGGATAAATTAGAAGCCAGTCACTCTTGGGGAAGATAAATTGTTAAAAAAAGGTAACAGGGTCTTAGAGAAGTGATGTTTCCCAAACCTTACATCCACCTTGATAAAACTCTCCATTTAAAAATTTGATTCAAGATGAGAAAGTGTTCAGCTGCTGTTACAGAAGAAGGGACACATTTGTTTGTTCATAAAGTCATACTAG